GCGGTGACCATTTCCGGTGCAGTGACCATTTCCGGTGCGGCGACTATTCTTGATATCATTCAAACGACTGTGGAGTTCCGTGAGTGACATGGTTCTCTATAAAGGGCTGCCCTCCCCCAGAAGTCTTGAAGCGTTGTATTTTCATACTATTAGGTACATCGCCTCGGGCTAACAGTGAATAAAATGCCGCCTACAACGCTAAACCAATCCCATAAGGATGAGGAACATGCTCAATATAGGAATCCGCAACATTTGCCCACGCCTGAACCAGAGTCGCAAAATACACTATCCGGTCATCAGGGTCAACATGTTGAGTCACAGACCCCCAACACCCCGCCAGTACCACATGAAAGACCTACGGGAGGAGATAGCTCCGTGCAGAGCAGCCTGGTTCCTACTATTGTAGTTGGTAATGGCTCAGCTCAACCCTCAAGCAATAATATTGTGGTTACCGGTGTCGAAGACAATGGCAACGACAACCAAGGTAGCACAAGTCCTATCGAGATCGACGAAAGAACAATCGAGGAAGCTATCCGTGATTTAATCAATGAAAAGCACTCAGAAGAGGGTGATGGTGAGCTGACACAGATCGTCCTTCATAGACATGACAGACTTGATGAAGTTTGTTCATTCTTTGATGCTCTCAACGTGGAAATTCGCGAAAAATGTCTCAAGTTCGATAAAGAGCCAAAAGATTATCTCATCCCAAGTCGCCAGCATCATGACGCTTTAAAGTTCTTGGGAAATTACCTTAACTCGTTGAAGCCGGAAGAGCTACTGCAAGAACTGCCTAATATTCAAAATCAATGTGACATGGTCAAGAACCAACTATCTCGCGTTAATCTCAGCCATGATTTACCTCCTCAATGGAATATTGATGTTAAAGAGATCATGGAGTACACCAGAGCCAATATCCCAGCTGGGGATCACTCTGATATCCCAGATTCGGATGCCGATGATCTTGATGCCCTAGAGTCGCGTACAAGAAAAGAGCAACATCAATACTCATCTTGTGAAGTTCTCAGCTGGTGGCCCAAGGGCACTGGGACTCAAACTTTTGTTCGATATGGTGATAAGTCAGCCCCTATTTATAGAATTAGGGCTGGCTCGTACGAGATATATGACAAGGCTTCTGTGCCACGATTGTGGACAACGAGCTCGCGTGGAACAGCGAAGAAGATGATCACCGAAGCTGGGGAAGAAGATGAAGTCTGGAAATACACTAGGAGTGATGTAAAAAGAATTATCGCAGTTGGTTGGAAGGTTCCTGATGACGATGATTCTGAAATTGGAGCTCTTCCATTTATCAAGCCTGAGAGGGGGGCAATATACCCCCAGACAAAGACTATGGTGCTGTGGAAAGATGGACAAACTACACTCGAGGGCCGTTCTTTTATACGTCGAATCGCTAATGGGGCTGCTTTCCGAGGCGATGAGATGATATACCAAAAGGCGAAAGAGCTAGAAGCCGCCTATGAAAAAAAGAACGGGCCACTTCAAAGCAGTCACAAGGTGAAGGAAGAGGATGAAAGCGAATACGCTGGCAGTGATATAGATGGTTCTAATGTATCAGATCCTGAGTCTTCATCTGCAAGTTCGAAAGACAAAGTCCTAAGACGTGACAAGAGCAAGAGATCTCACAAGCATCGAGCCTCAGCTAAAGAGGAAGATATCAAAAAGCTTGAGCGAAAACTCGAAAGATTGAAGAGTGGGAAAAGAGTCACACATTCCACAAGACAGTGACTACAAAGATCTTTATTAATCATTTCTTTTTATAGATAGGTCTTATGGCTATATGTTCTGGGGCTAAAATTGTTTGCTGATTTATGTCTATGCCTGGAGTTATGTTTGTGTGGTACTTTTCTGAGTAGAGCCGGATTTAACAAAAGGGGGGGAAAGGGGAAAAAAACATAGAAAATTGAACTTAAAAAAGGGGTTTCTACCCTGACATCAGTTTCGTTGATCTCAACTTAAAGGGACATGGTAGCCTACAATATTGGTACAGTCATTAGCGAAATCTGCTTCCTCCCTGACAACTGCTTTTCTTCTCTCAAGCCCCACTGCCAAGGCACTAGTGCGCGAAATGATTTGACGTACGTCACTACACACATGACTGCTCAAGGTATTGGCAGGTATTTGATACCAGAATTGCGTTCTTAGTTTACCAAATACTTACGCTATAACATCCACCATACACTTTAGGCGGTAAACATCGGCAAAACTATATTCTGAAATTGGCTTTTCGGTTGGGGTGTGTGGAGGTATTGGATGATGCACGTGATTGAAGTCGCAGGGCGATTGGCTAATGAAGATCCATCGAAAGTTATTGCCCTCAATTTACTGACTGATCGTTGAAAAACCGCCCATGGATAATTCACTGTTAAATAGCATCAACACGCAAATAATATACATTATTATTTTTTGTATAATTAGGTTCCTGGCATCTGCTCAGTTTATTTTGTTCTGATCCCTTGGCCTTGAAATAAGACGCAGATTTGTTTATGAGGACCTTCAATATTACATGCTGACGTTTACCCCAATCAGGACTAGTGGTCGATCATCAATGGAATACCATGGAATAGCGAAGATCTACATGGCTGATTTGCTTTCCCAGAGCGATCTTCGATTCCTCGTTTCCAGGTGTCCCAACCCCCAACCGTACTGCACTCCCTAGGACATCATCATTGCTCAAATCCAAGCAAAACTTGCATAATCCATCACTGTCACCGTCCATGCTATTCATTTTGCACTACTTGCTGTTTGCTTGTGCTCTGTTTTCTGCGGTCGCTCTCTCCAGGTAAGGATCAACGGTATTTGGTCAAAGCGAACCATCACCTATAGAGTCTGTTTATTAATGAAAAATGATGCTGATAATGATTCTCTTGCTAGTACCAGAAATATGAGCTGCAGCCCATTCAGTACTCAACATGAACCGCGGCTATTTGACTCGTATGAGCAAACCGATCAATCCTCACTCTTTGCCCCGACTCCGGGATATGGCTTTGTTCAGACCCCATCTGTGATGCTTTCCATGAGCCCCGAAATCCACACAGAGGACAATTTGTCTTCCCAACATCAATCTCCACAACTGAGCCAGATTCGACTACTTCAACTGGATGAGTGGGAGGAAGGAAAGTTGTATGATGAGCATCCACCCACTTGTCTCCACTATTCGATTGTGTGGAAAGTTACCCTCAATAACAAAACAATCCGGAAAAATACAGAGCAAGATTTGGTTCTGGCTCCACAGTTTCATTGGCGTCTTTTTTTGGAGCCCAAGTTAAAGGAACTTGTAAGCAAGAAATTTTCGCAAAAACAAGGTGAACTAGATGATACAACTCTCATTGTGTCGGTTAATCACCGTAACCAGCCAGACCTCACTCTTTCTTGTGACAAAACTGATGTGGATTGGCCTGCGGTGGAGAAACAACTTCTCGTATGGGGTGAACTTTTCCACGCGGGGAAGAAACTAACACTGAATATATCATTCAACTACACTGAGGGGAGACCCACCCTAAGACCTGGCCTAAGAGCGACAGATAAACGAGGCACTTCATCTGCCACCCAGCGCATGTTGCTCGCGCGGCAAGCAGAGATCAGTGCTGAAGAACAGGCCACTGGGCAACCTCCTGCCTGGGATCATGTCTATAGTCTGATGCGGTGCTCTAGCGGAGCATGTGAGCTAGGCCCGCACTGCTGGCGCGACCCTATCACCAAAAAGCATATTAAGCTGACAGTACAAAATTTGAGGGCCCTAGTGAATTATGTGGAGCAAGGCGGTGTGTTGACAACCCACGATGACGTTCCTGAGTCAATCCGTGAAAAACTATATATACAAGAGCAGCAGCGGCTTGACAGACACAAGGGAGGCATTCAATCCACAGCTGGATGTCATCCTATAAACATCACCAACGTCCTCCCTGCGCAGGCTTCTCCTCTTTCTGTGCCATCTACACCGACTCCAGTGCCGACCATGTGTCCAGGAAAAGACCTTGCGGATTTTCTCGAAATCCCTGGTCTGCGGGACCTTGCTGTTGCTGAATATAGTGACTGGCGGCAAACACAAGTCAACGATGAAAATCTCAAGGCAGAGTTTCGCAAGGCCCGTGATGCTGCGCTTGAAGATGGACTAGATCTTATGCAGGTTCATGAGGATCAGGATCCACAGTTCTTCATAAAGAATGGCGTAAAAAGAGGTATTGCTCGGCGTTTCGTTGGTGACATTAATTACTGGGACAAACATTACAAGTGCAACATAGATGGACTGACTCCGGGATCCGTGGGATAGAGCTCTACATATTCATATATTCATTCCAAACACATATCTCATCATATGATATGTATTACTAGATGTATATTCAATGATCAAGGTTCTTCAATATTCCAACCTGCATGTCGAAAATGTCCTTTCGCGCTTTTTTTCTCTTGCCCCTACAACATCAACACACCATTCGAGAAAAGTATTGAACCCTTGATCCGGTTTCTCTTCATACGTCAACCACTGTCTTTTGATGAAGGCTTTTAGCTCAGCAAAGAACTCCTCAATCGGATTTAAATCTGGCGAGTAGGGTGGCAAGTACACCAATTTGACCCCAGCCGCAGAACAGATCTCTCGAACGCCTTCCGTACGATGGAAAGATGCATTATCCATGACAAGGACAGACTTCGGCTCCGGCCACCTCCCACAGTGATGTAGGAGTTGCCGTATAAAATCTTCGAACACGAAAGCATCCGTCGATCCCTGAAAAACCCGCGAAAAGACGACGTCATCTTGAGCATATGCGGGAAGGATCTGGTATCGCTGTCCACGGTGAAAATGAGAGATTTGCACAGGTGTTACGCCTAGTGGAGACCATCCCGTCCGTCTGAAACCCGCTCGTTTATCACAGCCCGACTCATCCACATATACCAAATGGTAGGATCGGAAGGACGATATAGTGTGTAGATAGTAATCTCGTAATTCGGCATTTCGCTCTCTCGCGATCTGTCTCGAAGCCTTTTTAGACCACCCAACCGACGCGAGCGCCCTGCCAACGCTATAAATAGTCACAAGCACGCGGAATTCATCCCACAAGAAGACCACCATCTCATCCTGGTAGAGATCCGGCTTTTCAAGGAGACACTCACAGAGAGCTTCGAGCATAGATGGGGTGATCGTTCGTCGTCTGCCAATACCGTTGGCAGGGGCCTTGACACTTCCAAAGCATCGTAGGTTTGAGCGGATAGTGCTGACTGATCGTGGGGTACAATGGGCAGCTTCGGCAATCTGCGCGTTAGTATACGGTTTGGAGTCTTGAATCATGTCACGAATGAGTTCGAGTCGCCATGCTTCAAGTTTTGGTGCCATATCTACCAGGCGGTGCTGTAGCGACCATCGTTGACGGGTTCCGTCTGTCGTGCCACGTCAGTCGGTCAGGGACCACGTTGTCACGTGCGGCTCCCCAAGCCACGGGCTAGTCGCTTTCTCCAATAGCGTTCGCTCTATTGCCGCCCCTGCTCCGCCTTCAGCCCAGGCGAGCCTCTACTGCTGGCGGCGGGGCTGCTGCTGTCTGCCTTGCAATGGGGCTCTTTGTTTGTAGTGCAGTAGATGGCTCGTCAAGCTCTGTCGCTAATCAACCTTTCGTGATATTCCCGTCGAAACACTATTTCTCTCGTGAAACCACGCTAGAGCCTCTTCATGGCCTATCCTCCGCGAGATGCTTTCCAAATTGGCTGGATCTGTGCCCTTCCGATCGAGGCTGCAGCCGCCACCGAAATGCTGGATGAGCACTTTGGGATTCTCGAGGAGCAAGATGCAGCGGACTCGAACACCTACACGTTGGGCCGAATCGGCAAACATTACGTCGTGATCGCCTGCCTCCCCGGAGGCCAGTACGGAACCACCTCTGCTACTACGGTCGCAAACAACATGCTTCGCACCTTCTCCAAGTCACTTCGGATCGGATTGATGGTCGGTGTTGGGGGTGGAATTCCGTCAGCTGCTGACGATATCCGCCTCGGTGATGTCGTCGTTAGCTACCCCCAAGGCACCTGTGGTGGGGTCATTCAATACGATATGGGCAAGATTATTGCCGACGGTGAATTTGAACGAACTGGCTCGCTGAACAGTCCCCCGAGGGCGCTTTTGACTGCAATTGACACGATGAGAGCTGCCGGACTGACAGATGATCCTCACTACCCGGAATATCTCCAAAACACAATCGCAAGAACTGCTCGAACTCGGAAGAATTTTGGCCGACCTACTGCAAATTCCGATCGACTCTTCCAGTCGCAACATGATCACCCTGTTAGTGCGAACAGCTGTGATGGATGTCTAGCGGAGTGGGAAAAGACCAGAGGTGAACGCGAAGACAACTATCCACAACCCCATTATGGTATTATCGCTTCTGGTAATAAGGTCATCAAGCACGGGTCGACAAGAGAGCAACTTCGTTTAGAGACTGGGGCATTGTGCTTCGAGATGGAGGCAGCTGGTCTGATGTTGGACTTCCCCTGCGTTGTCATCCGCGGTGTTTGTGATTATGCCGACTCGCACAAGAACAAGCAATGGCAGGGATATGCTGCCCTGGCAGCCGCCGCATACACAAAAGAGCTACTGGGCTATGTGCCGGTTGGTCGAGTTTCACAAGAGAGCTTGGTAGTAGATATCTGCAGTAAGTAAGATTAACCCCAGCTCAATTAGTCCTGAATCAAGAGTGTCTTGCTCACAAGGCTCTACGTAGACGGATTGAAGGCCAAAATTGAAGGCACCAATCAACGCCTAGACCAAGCATACAGTCAACAAGAAAAACATCATCGTGAGAGGGTTGTGTTTGCTTTGACAGACCAGCAACACCGCTGTCATCAAACATTCAAGGTGTCAAATTATGAGCAGCAGAAGAACATCAATCCGGAAAAAGTGAAAGGAACCTGCCTTTGGGCTTTACAGAGCGCCGAATATATCCGTTGGTCAGAGAGCAGCTGCAACGATCTTCTCTGGGTGTCGGCCGACCCAGGCTGTGGGAAGTCTGTACTTTCCCGATCGATAATCGACAACTGCCTACAAGGTTCTTGTCCAGAAGTGTCAATCTGTTACTTTTTCTTCAAAGACAACGATGAACAGAATCAACTTGCTTTAGCACTTTGCTCAGTACTCCATCAGCTTTTTAGCCAACGACCCCAGCTCCTGCGTCATGCCATACCGTCTTGGGAAAAAAATGGAGAGAAGCTTCGGCAAGAGGTTGACGAACTGTGGAGAATTTTTACAACCGCTGTATTGTCTGATGAATTGTGCAAGACAATCTGCATATTCGATGCACTTGATGAATGTCGTGAGATTGATCAGAATCGACTCACTGAGAAGCTCCACTCATTTCACCGTCTGGCGCATCCGCAGTCACAGGGTACCTGGTTAAAATACCTGGTCACCAGTCGCCCCTATAACGAAATCCAGAACAGTTTCCGAGGGATCACGGACTCATTCCCACATCTCCATCTGAAAGGGGAGGAAGAAAATGATCAGATCCACCAAGAAATCGATATTGTTGTGAAGATGCGAGTCAAGGAGCTTGCAGAAAGAGCCGCGTTGTCACAGGACACAGAGCAGCGACTCGAGAAACAGCTTCTGCAAATGGAGCACCGTACGTATCTCTGGCTACATTTAGCCATTGACGATATTCGATCTTCATTCGAGAACAGCCTTCGCCCTTCCGGGGAGGAGATCGAGTTGATACCTGAATCGGTAGATGCGGCATACGAGAAGATTCTTGGTCGAGTGCCCTTCCGTCAAGTGAACATTGCGAGAAAGATCTTACAAATCATCATTGCAGCACGGCGCCCTTTAACAACGACAGAAATGGCCATGGCGCTCGGTATAGCCACCTCCCCACAAGCGCAAACTGCAGCAATGGCTGGAATTGAATCATCCCAGATCGACAAGAAGCTGCGTCGATTATGTGGCCTTTTGGTTTTCATCAACAATTCCAAGATCTACTTGATTCATCAGACAGCCAGAGAATTTCTTGTTAAGAAGAGTAACTCTAATAGTATCAACTACTTATACTCGTGGAGCCTGACGGATACCGAGGATCAAATGGCTGTGATCTGTTTGCGATACCTACTGATGGAGGACGTGGAGCACGATGATGAGGATCCAGACTCTATCATTCGAAGCTTTCTTGATTATTCCGCAGTATATTGGCCGGACCACAAACGGGAGATGAGTCTGACCCAAGACCAAGAAGCAACCAGTCAAGTTCGGCAAATGTACGATATGAGGAGGAAAGGGTTTTCATTGTGGTTCCCTATCTTTTGGAAGGCCATCAATCCCCACATGTCTCTGCCGACAATGACTGCTTTACATCTGGCATCATTAAACGGGCATGAGGGGGAGGTTCAATTTCTACTGTCTCTTGGGAGGAAAGAACTCAATTCGACAGATAGCGAAGGAAACTACCCAATTATTTTAGCCTCGCTGAATGGTCATGATAAGGTCGTGCAGCTGCTACTAGAGAACGGAGCCGATGTCAATGCCCAAGGTGGAGAGTACGAAAATGCCCTCCAAGCCGCGTCATATAAGGGACACCACGGGGTTGTGCAGTTGCTGCTAGAGCACGGAGCGGAAGCCAACGCCCAGGGTGGAAATTACGGAAATGCCGTCTTTGCTGCATCCTCTAGAGGACACGATACGATCGTGCAGTTGCTGCTGAAGAAAGGTGCTGCGGTTAATCCCCAACAAAGTGAATGGGTTGGAACTGCCCTCCAAGCCGCCTCTGCCGGGGGACACAATACGGTTGTGCAGTTACTGCTAGAGAACGGAGCCGATGTCAACGGTCCACATGGACAAGACGCAAATGCTCTGTATGCTGCATGCTCTAGAGGGCGCGATGCGATCGTGCAGTTGCTGCTGGAGAAAGGAGCCGCGGTCAACGCCGAAATAGGATATTTTGGAAATGCCCTCCAAGCTGCCTCTGCCGGAGGAGACGATACGATTGTGCAGTTACTACTAGAGAACGGAGCCGATGTTAACGCCCAAGGTGGATATTTTGGAAATGCCCTCCAAGCTGCCTCTGCCGGAGGAGACGATACGATTGTGCAGTTACTACTAGAGAATGGAGCCGAGGTCAACGCTCAAGGTGGAGCGTATGCCACTGAAATGACCGCTGAAGATACTCTGGAGCCTGATGATTCGGATGAGTGAGGTTCCAATTCAACGGGACCCTTCTACGGGACCCCGAAGTTCTGATTAGCATGACACGCCTCATTTGGACTGTAGGAGTGGTATCAAACGCCTGTCGCCGAACCCTCCTGCGCCTCCTCCGAAACGTGCAAAGCTCACTGTTTCCGCGAATCGTCGCATTGTCCGTTAATTTCTACAGATGGAAGTGAAGGTGCTCGGAAGCGTTCAAAATGGTCGACCAGGCCCTTCAACTGCTGTGTATATGGGCTGCTGGAAGGAAGTTTGATATATGTACTGGTTGATTTGTAGTGATTTGTATGCATACCACGCCTAAGCATGCTCCATACCAAGGGGACATTGTTGTAATATTTAGGACAGTAAGCTCAATACAGTATCTCTATCTAATACCAAGCCATACTTTAAACGGTTATCAATTTATTGTTGTGTTAAATAATTTTACGCGCTAGTTCCTTGGCAGTGGGGCCTGGGGAAAGAAATGCGATCAGTAGGGAAGAAGCTGTTTTCGCTATCGACTGTATAATCAAGCAGATCTATTGTGGATAACTTATCGTCAGTCCTGAGGTCAAGTATCATAAGAGACGTGATATCTAGTGTGGTAATCGGACCGCGTATTTTTCAAGATTTATCGAATGATTTATAGTTAGTAAAGTGCTAGAAATTGTATACATACAGTCAGTATTACTATGGTTAAATAATGAGTATTACATTCTGCTGAGTTGAAAAATCTTTCATACTGCAAAGGTCGAGTTCGGGCGACCACTTGATGAAGCACATGTAGGGCTTTTAGCTATATCAGGAAAGATGCACGTGTTAGTATGAAGTAATATATAAAGCATGCCTCACCTGCCGACCTACTCCCTCTTTCTTCTTCCCTCTCCAGCTTAGCTTTCACGTCAAATGACGGACTTGGCCCTTTCTCTCTCTCGATTAGCCAACAGTTTACAAATACGATGGATAAGGGGTAAGGATGGTTTCCTATACTAATACTTACAAAGTGTAGCACAATATAAAGCGTTTGATCACTCCTACTAATTTATCTGTGTTAATAGACCGCCATTATTCTCTTCTTTTTCCCCTAGGAGATATATAACGCTAAGTCGTGAGAGCCACCCCTTTAAGATGGCCTTCTGCGAATTCAAGCGCTCCAGGCCTGAGGGATTGAGAATCAAGATAACAGTGTGACAGAAACGGAAAAGCAGAAAGGTACGTTAAAGTAGTTCATATTTGTAAAGACATGGGGAGAGAAGAGGGAGAGAGAGCTCTCTCGAACTACGCTATCTAGACAGCGGGAGCCTCACCAAATGGGCAGCCACTAGACTTCCAACACAATGGAGGATTGAGGGCCATCCCTTCAGGATGGTTTTTAGCTCTTACCAGTTATCTGAATAGTTAGGGGTAGGAACAGCAACAGTGACAGCGGTAAACTCGGTGTATTCGGTGGACGCGGATATGGCAGGCGAATCAGCGAAGTTGAACATAAGAGCGATGGCAGAGTCACCAGCGGTCGCAAAACTTGAAGATGTAGACTTTCAAGTTTTGAGATAGTACAAAGGCACGAGAGGGAGTCGAATGCGAATGACTATTTACCTGGGTAGGGATTCAAAATTAGGGGGTGGGAATAGGTGCAGTGTACATTCCAAGCGGAGCGGGCGATCGTAAACGACAGACGGTAGGAACCAAGAAGACCTTGGAAAGAGCAAGATGTGATGGGGGAGATTGCAAGGCCTGTCGACCAACCTTGGGATGTGTACAAGACCAGAACAGGATTATGACAGCGAGTCTTGAAGAAGAAGCAGCTGAGTACTAGGAAGAAGTGATAGAAAATTGATGGTTTCTGGTAAGAAGGGTCTCTGAGGCATTATTGTGCCTCAAAACTGGGCGCTCAAACGAGAAGCTATCTTAAGCACGCAAACGGTAAGGCTCTGATAGTTGAAAAAATCAGACTATTATAACAAAGGTTGCATAAAATCTCGGACTGAGGATGGGAAAACAAGATACTTTCTGGTTCCGCTTTGGCCTGACGACCTCATATAGGTTGTTGCGGTGTATGGTTGTCAGCCTGTTGTAGATCCTGGTCTGTCACTATCATTGGGGCTGGATAGTAGGAGTTCTTGAAGGGTCAGTCAATTTTTATCAAAGCCATAGTTGGAGACATACTAATTGTGAGCTAAGGAAAGCCCAGAATCCCGAAGTATCCGCTAATAAAATATATACCTGGCCTGTCTCTCGCACACGAATTCCCACGCATACATCTGCGCTGCACATCCTACTATATTCGCATGCCTTTTTCATCAGACTTGCTTTACGGCGGCATTGTCTTTGCCGCATCAATTTTCTTTTCGAAATCGTATCCTTGGACCTGATAGCCTTGATAGCGGCCATTGAGCGCGTTGCCTTGATATCTGGGGGTTGGGGGTAGAGAAACCTATATAGAAAGTATAGATTGAGGGGACTCTTAAAACTTAGGTCCGCTAAACAGAAACGGCTTAATAAATATGGATGTTATTGCACGAAGGGGAGTCCTCAATCATAGAACGCGAAAAGACTACAGTATTACTCGAAGCATCATACGAAAATCCTTCCTTTATGTGTTGAAGTCATGAAGGGGGTCCCTGCAAGACTGGAAGGGCAAAGATTACCGGTGGTATTTGCAGACATCAAATAGGTGCGGCAACGTGAAAAAACCGTACTTTCAACATTATTGGCCGCCATACCTTTTACGTTCCGCAAGGTCAATGCAGCATACTTTCAACACTAGCAAGCTCTTGCTGATCTCAAACCGCTGTGGAAATGAATTTTTCAACCAGTTAACACAAAAAAATCAAATTTCGGGGGGTGCCTAGGTATTAGGAAATGCGTGTCATTTGGGGCGGAAGATATTGTATGTATGGCCAACGATGTTTCATGAACACCTTAATTCTTTCATCATGTCTAAATTGAATATGAACGATTGAATCTGTTTTACTTGTCTTTTAAGCTATTGTTTGCATCCTTAACGCGTATAAATGGGCAAAAAAATGGAGGTAACATGTTGCTAAATGACAAAATACAATGGTTAGCATCGAATAATTACAGTGGAAATCGAAAACAGCTAACCCCCAGAGACACACGCTGTCTTTTTGATCTTCTTCACACCAAAACCTGGAATTAGGCAAGCTTGGTAATGTACCAGAGATACATCAAAATCAACTACATGAGACTGCTCTTGGCCGAATTCAGTTTAGCGTGATGAGAGAGACAGCGTATGTGTCTGGGAGGTAAGCTATTTTCGATTTCTACTGTAGTAGCCTACTAAGAGTTGAGAAGTCAACTACATAACGGGCAAGAGAAGATTTAGAGCCAGTACACAAAAATTGATTGTCACAGGAATACTGCAAGAAGAATAAAAACCAATTATAGTATTTCAGTTATCTTTTCAATAAACGTAGTAAAAGAAGTGAGATAATTGTTATGTATAATTAGCTGGAAGACAGTTTTTGATCAACGTCACAGCCGTCTTGCCACTAATTTCTATATTAATAGGCAATTCTTTTGGTAATTAGTTTTATTAACTTGATGCTGCTCAGTATACAATGCCCCGAAGAGTTTGAATTAACCATAGAGCTGTATAATATATATCCACTGTAGAATCAACTGAATCGCGTTTCTGGGCTTAACTGTACACTATCGTCACTTTTGGGCATATTGGTTCTTTGACTATAATCATTGTAGTATAAGGTGTTGGAAAAACGATAAAGTCATTTTCATACCTAGTCAGGAAGGCTATCAAGGTAGGATCCACTGTATAATCTGTTGAGAGACTTTTCTATAATACTGATTTGTTGGCGTGATAAGATGTACAAAAGGTTAATAGGTATACAGAGATAAGTAAAAGAGGAAGGCAGTTGAATTTATTATGACTATCAATCAAAAGGTCGAAACAACTACGATGGGATTTTATTCCGGTGACTCTCAATAATGGGACAAATAAGATATACTTTAGGGAAATAGTGACCAGCTATGGCTCCGCCAAGTGTATAAGTAGAGAAGTAAAGGCATGGCGCAAGACCCTCGAAGATCGGAAGAGTGGAATCTGACGCTCATGTTCGGAGGCCATGGACATCCCCGGCATGCCTCCGCAAGTGCATCTCGTGTAGGACGGACAAATCGCAGAAATTACATGTCCGGTCCGTCAAATGGGATGTCCTAAAATGCCTCTTCACTCCATTATAGTCGGAGTATGTCTTGGGGCATTGGAAGCATGCGAATGTTTGCTCTGCATTCGGGATCTGTTCCCGGCCAGTGGTACGTTCATTCCCCCACGAAGTATTCAGCGGCGTATTAGGTTTTATCCTTCGAGCTGGCGAAGAGGGACCTGCATCGTCATTGTCGGACAGTGCAGAGCGCTTCCGTCGTCCCCGAAGGGGCCCACCCTCCAGAAAGCCGCAATATTGTATTCCAGCATCAACAGCTTTGTTGCGCCGCATCCATTCGTCTTCTAATGAATCGGTGGTCGGCCAAGTAAAGAACGTCTCCACGAGAAGAATCTGCTCCGATGGCATTTCAAACTCCTTCCGTAATACTTCGCGCGCAGGCTCATCACTGACAGCCCCACCAGTGAGCTGTCTTTCAATGTCAATCACCGCCTGTTTCCGACTGAAATCGCGGCGTTTTGCTTTCCGTCGTTTGTCTTGCAGACGACGGCGCAAATTGTGGACTTGTCGCCTCTGGTCCTCCAGCATCGCTCGCAATTCTGGGTTTTGAGAGCGATCAGCGCACTGGGTCTCTAAATCAACTTGCCAGCGTATCGCTGATTGCAGTTCTGGGTCTTTCTCCACTGATTGCCGGTCAGCGTCGCTCAGGTATCGTGGTCGCCGCCGATCAATCCAACGGCTCATCCGAGTCACAGCTTTTGAGAACTCTTCGTCTGGATTGAGGCCGCACATGATCTCTTGTAAGCCAGTATGCCGACGGGGACGATAATGTTTGATAAAAGTTCTGCTAGTGGCGTGGGCCATGATCACATTACGCTGTGCTTCACTGACGAAACCTAGACACAAGAGTCAGTCCACTTATCTAGAGAAAAATCAGAACCTTGGGTATTTATAGTCCACTCACCACTCTTGTCTAGTAAATCACCTCCTCCGTATCGAAATTGGTGAGAGAAGAAATGATTAAGGAAGCCGTGTATCTCACTAGATGTCCTGAGTTGTGCGTCGAGTGTGCTACCATTCATAGGCGTCTCCCACGAAATGCGGGGCTGGCCACAGATCACCTCAACCTTCGGGAAAACATAGTAATTATCCGTCTCTCTCTTCAAGGGAAGTGGCATTTCCTGTCGGCCGCCCTCGACAAGCAATCTCCGAAGGTCTTCCATCGAGGTTAAGTGAGGCGCTTCAAAGGCATGAACATAAAATAATATAATGAAGAGCAAAACATGCGGGCTGAAGACAAGTGATACACCGTAGACAATTTCAGGTAGCGCGAACGTGTTTCTAATTATCATTGACCAGTCAGTCTGATTGCAGTAAACAAGCCCTGGGGTGGGCAGGTGTATAGCATGGGGTGCCACCAACAGCTTCGACATGCCCAGGACGCTTTTCACAAACTGGGGCTCGAGTTCTATCATCGGCTTCGGAGGTCCTCCGTTCGGATCCTGCTGGAGCGATATTTGTAGATGCTTGAACTGAAGATCAAGCATTGCCTGTTTCCGGTTGACGGTAAATAACCCAAGAGTGTTATATAGACATAGGATGATCCGCTGAAACCCCAAGTGAAATCGCTTCTCCCGGGTTTGAAGGATTGTCTCATTGAATGGAATCATATCCTCGATATAAACTGGGACATTTGCCCGCGGTTGTTTGTCAAGACCGCGCTTATCCACCAAGTATCTCATGCCCTGTCCGTTTTCGTCAGCGCAAGTCTCCTGGGGACGATTGAGCTGGGGGAAGGGTTAAAGAACAAACCGTGCGAACTGCCTCACCCATTTCTTTGCTCATCTCGTGTTTGGTTACTCGTGTATAGTAGATTCGGAAGTACTTCCAATCCGCTTCAAGGGCGCTGGCCTTTGTGTAGCCTTTCTGACGGCGACCGTTGGGACTGTACTCCAACTTGAGGCACCAATTTAGAAACCGATGCATCTCATTTGGAGACGCCTCACGCAGTGCATCTTCTGCATCCTCCCATTTTGGATCGGTGGAGGGCTCCATCGCTTTCATTTGGCAGAACCTGAGATGAGGCATCTTGGTCAGCCGAAATTCGCTGTAAGCTTTGAACAATATCCCGGTCACTTACCAAGCCCAACGCTCTTTGAGTCGAAGTTTCAACTTCTTTGTTTTGTTGGATCGGCCGTAATCCTCCGGCACTTGGGCCAGGTCCTCGTCCGTGTCATCATCTGGGACTTGGTATCGGGCCTGGTGGACACGTTCTATATTCGACAGGTCTGTTGGTAACGATCTTATTCCAGTATTTGGACTTGGCTTCTTCCGAGCAATCGTTCGACCCGCTGGAGGGGAGCACTCCGGCTCGGTGAGATTGGTCTCAGAGGAATTAAGCTCAAACGGTTTATCATTGTCGGTATCGATGGGAGAGGTATAAGAGGATTCGCTTGTAATTCCGTGGTTGCTGGCATTGGGCCTCCTCCGACGATACATGGCTAAGAGATTTCGCCGACCGTGCGAAGGAACTACCTCAGAGCTTGAGACGTTTCAATGCACAACTAAATAGAGGCAAGGAGATCAGAAGAAGAGTATTAGTGGCGCTGGAGTTGAAATGAGGATATTGTTGGAAGAGGATAGAGGGTTGGTTGGGAAAAGGATATTTATAGCCATGGCGGCGGAGTACTAGCTAGAGTGCAGCTGGTAGTGCTGATAGAGCCATTTTCGGCGCCCTCTGTCCTAAGGATTGGTGGAGTGATAAGCCCTCGGGGAAACCCAGGATGTACGTGCGCACGAAATGGCAGCCTAAGGTACAAAGCAGTAAGTGGTGCGTGGTCGAAGGAGGCGGGAGCGTGGCGGAGGGAGTTTGCTGAAAAGCGGCCATTTTTGGCGTCACCTGCTGCTGAAAAAGGCAGCCAAATAGCAAAACGAAATTCTTATTTAGAACTTTAAAAGTATTATTTAGAATAAGATATTAAAGAATATCTAATAGTACCTTTTTATAATTTAAAGAAATATAAGTATTAGAAAATTATAATATATTTAATATAGATATATAAATAGAAAGATAGTAAGAAGTAAATAATTTATAGTTAATTATTTTCTTAAAGTTAAATATAAAAGATATAAATATATAATTTATTAAATTAATATATTATATTCTTAAATAAGCTATTATTATTAGTTAATTTATTATAGATTATCTATAATAAATCTTAATAAACTTATAAATCATTTTTAATAAATCTTATAGACTTTTTATCAACCTTATTTTAATCTTTAATAAACTTTATAGACTCTCTATAACCTTTATTCTAACTTTTAATAAACTTTATAGACCCTTTATAAACCTTATTTTAACCTTTAATAACCTTTATAAACCCTTTATAAATCTTATTTTAATTTTTAATAAATCTTAGATCTTTAATAAACCTTTTAATTAATATAATATATATTATAGATATATATTTTTATTCTATTATAAACTAATAATTTCTATTATCTATTATATCTTTTTCCTATAATTATATAATATAAAAGAAATATAAAAATAATAGAACTATTATTAAAAAACAATATTATTAAAACAATTTAAGATATTCTATAACTTTAATAGTTAAAAGTCAATATTTATAATCTAATAAATAAAATAGATATAAATAATAATATTTTATTAAAATAAATAAATAGTTTTATCTATTTATATTAGATTTAGTACTAGAAATTTATATATCTAAAGATTGCTATAGATAATTAAAGGTTACCTATATACGATCCTTATAGAACTAGGATCAGGATTAGGGTTGCTTATAAACAACCCTGAACCTTAGAGGGATAGGTAGAGGATCTAAGGTCATAGACCATCTAGAAGGTCACTGCCAGGTCTACTAACAGACAAATAGATCTTAATACTAGTATCCTATATAGATCTTAACAAAACCTGACTTAGATCCAACTTTTAAAACCTAATCTGACCTACAGGTCCAAAAGTTAAACCTATATCTAACCTGTGGGTTATCCGTGGATTGGGTTTCAGGTTTTTAGTAAACCTATGCTAGCCCAGAGCTAGTATAAATCACTTAGAAAGGAAGATCTTAATATGTATAACTTGATAACTATTTGTAATTAATTATTGTTCTTTATATATATTTAATTATAATTAAATAATTCTTTTTTTTAGAGTAATTAATTATTTGAAATATTATAAAATAATTATATTTATAAAATCAATATAAAAAGTTATTATTATTTTATTAATTAAATTTATAAAATTAAATAATAATAATATAGAAATCCTATATTTATATATTTTAGCTATATCTATAATATAAATATATATCTAAATATTATAATCTCTCTTTATATATTATAAATTATGGTTTCCTTTAAACTTTTAATCTAATTCTTTAAATTTAGTTTAATCTATTATCGTTATTACTATTATTATCGCTATCATTATCGCAACTATTACTATAACTACTATTACTAGTAGTCTCTAGGGCCTTTAGCTTGTTAGCTATATACTTGATCTATTAGTTGAAGTAAGTTTTTTTTCAATACAGACATATCTACCTGCGTGATATTTTTATCATTGTGTCTAACCAAGAGTGTCAGTAGAAGCTCGTCCGTTGTTCTCAAATGTGACTGGAGAGGGTGCACGAGTGCAAGCTTATTTAGCCGTGAGACATCCCTGTGGCGGCACATCAAGGAGAAACACATATTTCCTGATGCTTTCGAATGTCGCACTGCCCAATGTGGGAAGTCATATGGCCGAATGGACAAGATGCGAGAGCACTGGCGTTTCGCGCACTCGGATGCGAAAGAACTTTAGAAAGTGACTGTCGGTCGTGTCGCACGTAATAATCATTGTTTTTGGTCATTTTTTTGTCATGTCTGTCGATCTTGGGTTATATGTTGGTGCAATTGAGATCTTCTCTATTTTCTTTCGATCCAAAATGAGAAAATTATGTGTCGGAGTTGACATACGGATGTCTTTAGCAAAAGTGAATTGGTGGAGGAAGAGCTGGATAGTAACCCTCTAGCGCTCGCACTCAATCCCTCACTCTTAGGTGTCCTCCTTTCCCTGTATCTTGCTGCTTCTCGATTGGTGAATAGGAAATTTGCTCATAGCATGGATTTCAAGACCACAAACGCGGCACTGACAGCGAGGAAGGAAATCGGTAGGTGGACATCAATAGCGCCGCTCGTAGGCTTCGTCCTATCTTGGCAGTTTATCGCATATCCAGCTTTCGGCAACCGACCCGACTCCAGGAGCTCATTAAATGGCGTGCAATTGAAACCGGTCGAGTTGATTGATGGGATAACCGAGAAGCTAGATAAGACCGAAGGAGGATATTTACTCTCCAAGGGGGCATTTTGCTGGGCCACAAACGGATCGCTGTTTGCCTATTTTAGCTTCGCGGCCACTTTGCCGTTGGGGGCGAAGGGGAAATACATACAAAAATGCGTTTGATGTAGTCACTTCAGTCATGTAAATGTACGAGACATTCCTTGGCCAGTACCAAGTCTGGGTGCTGTTGTCTTGACTGTAGAGCGAAGTCAAATTAAGCTCAGGGGCAGATGCGATGTAGAGGTGGAAGCCGCCTGTCCAGTCCAGTGCTTGGGGTGGAAGCGTGATAGACTTCAGAGGACGGGTCTCTTCTTTTTGTCGGATCTTAAGAGATCGGAGATTATCAAAGGGTAGCTCTAGGTCAGTGATCGAAATGGGTTCTTGTAAATCCAAACTATCAACCTTGAGTGAATCGAGTTGTGCGCTGCGCTGAAAATCTATAACACCGCCAGAGAGTCTCAGCTGTGTGATATTCATATCTTTTGTCGAAGAGCCTCCTATGGCAACGGATGAATTGTCATTGATTCTCAGGTCTTCCACAGACTTGAATCCAATGGTGATATTGTTGATGTTTGGGAATGGGCCGTCGAATGTGGCGTACTGCAGGGCGATGGGATTATCAGTCAAGCTGTTCAGCGAGTCAATCTTCATCGGGTAGACAATCAATGATGACACATTTCGCAGCCTTGTGTGATGCAGAGTGGTGAGATTCGGAGCATAGAGCTTGATTGTCGACGCAGTATCCAAACTTGTTATGTCCAGGGAGGTGAGATGATAGGCAGATTGTCCGACCTTGAAATCATCATCCACGTAGTCAAGATTGGGAAGTGTGAGATTCACTATCTTGGAGTCGTAGTGCCCAATTTCAACTGCATCAACCGACCCAAGAGTTGAACTGGACAGTGTATAATACGGTTGAGTGGTATATTCGTCTCGGGAATAAGGATATTCCCCCAGTGTGCCTCCAATCATCTCAATGCCGTCAAGGTTGATATGAACAGTGGAAGTGCCGTTGAATGGACCAATTCCAACATGACCGTAAACTATCGGACAATCCCGACGAAGTGCATCCGCATCAGCCGCGGACTTGATCCATGTCGAGTTGCAGTCAGCAGCGAAGACACCTGGAAACATGAGTATGGGTGCGGGGAAACAATTCCGTGGCAAAGAAATGCAATTCACTCACTGGAGCAACATAACAGTAGGACTAGAAGCTCTGCGGTTCCAGATGCGCAGCTAAGGCCGAACATGTTGAGATCTATCTCAAAAAGCTTCGGTTACCGTGCGAAGGAGCCACAGGACCTGGGTCGCATTGCCATATGTAGGAATGGTCGTGCCCCTGAAAAAGGCAACGGGTCACGCCCCAGACTGTGCTGCATTAGCCTCAACAGGCTAATTTAGTAGCGGAGAACACCGTGACATCGGGGCTCTGTTTGGGGGAATGTTTGGGTTAAGGGGCGGAGAGCCAACAACGCCGAGCACTTGGCAGGCTTGGCGTCGATTCATTTTCACTCGGGGTGCGGAGTATCGCCTTGCTCAATATCAACAACATAGATATGTAATCTGTAGAGCTAAGTAAAACAGTCTTGCCGCTCACTTCTTTTGCTATCTTTCTCACTTTTTCTCATGAAAAAGCCCCAGTAATGTCCGCCTGGCTGAACCCTTTTCCTTTGTTTTTTTAACCCGGGTGTTTGCTCGGACCGGTCTTGGCACGCATCGTCTCAGGCCCTACATTAATTTTCTGAATCTGCCTTGGAACTCAGGCTAGATCTTAAGCCTTCCTATTCAAGGTACATGGCTGTCGAGATGTAGTCAGGTTACTTGCCTGTTTGAATAGTACAAGTAGATACTCCCAACCGTCGGTATCTACCCTTTCTTTCATCCTACACATGCATCCCACGGCTGGCGCCTCTTTGAGTGCCAAGAATTTAAAGGTGAATAACCAGCATGTTTGTCTTCGAGTAATCATGCAGCTAAGCACCACCGTCCTATACAAATACAAGGCTAACACGACAAGGCTGAGCGGTACTTGATAGCAAGAAACCCCAAGATGGATTTTCCACTCAAGCAAAAGTCATACTACTCGAGGTATCGTTTGCAAACTATTCACTCTTCGCCAAAATGGAAAGTCACGAAGCGGTTTCGCACATCGGCAGACTACAGCAAAGCCAAGAAGATAATATCGAACCCAATGACGCAGACCAGACGACCGAGATACTCCAGACAAGAGACATTACAGCACCCGAAACAGCGGAGCACGACAGACGGCGACCGGATTCGAGAAACACTAATACTTCTTTTCCTGACGTGGCGGGCGATTTTATACCACTGGAAAAGACCCCATCAGGATATCCGGAGTTGGGTTGGAAACCACTCGTTCTACAGGAGTGAAATCTTATTTTCCTCATTACCTTTTTCATGGCATGTTTGACCAGACTCGCAATTATCGTCCAGTTAGACCACACCAAACCGGAGCTGCTTCATGTCACTCGAACGCCTAGCCAACTCGCCTTCGAATATATACCCGTCGCTACCGGCACCATCTCGTCGATGTGGTAGAGCTCCTTGGTTCAATCCTATCTTCGGCTCAACCCTTACATCTCTATAGCATCTACAGCAAATTTCCCGAAGGGTCGAGAATCACGACGCAACAACGCCATTCAGGCAGCGAGGAGCTTGGATACATTCTTTCCAACACCAAGCTCTCTCGATCGCTTCATCAAGGAGCGCCATATCCTCACTATGATCACATTTTTAACTTCATTCTTAGTGATTCCTTTTCTTGTACCCCTGACGACCTCTCTGTTTCAGACAATACAAGATTCCAAGAGATGGACAATCAATGTGTCAGACAAAATTGCATATGTAACCATCACGCTATACGGTCTGATGACGGTAAGCACCATTAGTATAATGATACGTTTGTGGTCGGTCTACACAGGGTTAAAGTGGGAGGTTAGCTCAATCGCCTCTCAACTAGCACTGGTTCAGAATTCCAACATCTATGAACCTTTCCACGGACTTAAGTTCAAGCACGATCGCCAATTCCAAAACATCATAGGCTCTTGGCACCTTAAATATAGGGTTCTACGTCTCAGGTACTAGAAGATACTACGTAGCGAAGAAGAGACAATATAGCATGGTATCAGATTCTACGAACCAGAAGATAGGACAGACTACACTTTGATCTTTCAGTAATATACTAATGATATCTCTAGTCGTCGCGGAAGCTACAACTCCAAAATGCGAGAATGAGGCCTCAACCCTAGAACGAGAAACGACGAACAGCGAAACCGGAGTTTCATCAAACGTTCAAGAAACTCACGCAATACCCCTCCCACATAACACAGACAATAAGAATTATGACCCAGGAAACGTGCGAGATGAATCTAACTTCACAATATAAAGAAGCGCCACTAAACTCTGAGAGCTACGAGGTTGAGCATCCAAAACGCTTTCGCTACGCATCAGTCTGCAAGGAACATTGGGATATCCTACTAGCATCTCTCCTCGCTATCAGTATCACTTTATTTATTGCTTGCATTATTAGAATCTCTCAAAATATCGTCGATCGTGGATTTGATTTCACACCCCCTGTTCCAAGGGCCAACATTGCACTGGCCCAAGACATAATTTTCAACTTTTTGCCTACATTGCTATTCGATTTAGTCTCCATAGAGATCACCGCATCGGCTTATTTCTACCAACTACACCAGCCAATAGCAAATATAGAAAATCCCGTTTCGACCAAGGAGAGCGTGTTACTTGACTATATTAGTCGAAACACAGTCAATACCACTCTAACAGCGGCCATGAACAGACATTGACAGGTCGCATAGCTCAACCTCTTAGACATCTTATCGTCACTCCCTCTTATCTTGAACACAGGTACATTTACCGCCCAAGAAACATCCACTAGATGGCATATCACCGTCGCTCCGAGAACTTTTTACACCCTCTTTGCCCTATTGATCATTTACTACATCTCACTCATCTTCTACAGACCGCCACCGAAGTATCGCCTTTCCATAATAGTCCCTACTCTGACTGAACTCTTGACTCTATGTTATGACAGCCATATATTCGATGGCAACGAGTTCTCCATCCAGGACCCATCCAACCAAGAAATTCACCTCGTCTCGAAAGTGAAACTTACAAAACACAAATATCAATTCAGCTTATACCTAGGTCGAGATAGGCGAAGACATCTAGGATTTGATACGACAAGCAAGAAGGCCACCAAGTCTAGTGTTGATTCAGTACATCAGATTGAGCCAGGGCGGGCTATATATTTTTTCTCCAGGCCTTACTGGCTCCATCCTCCAGCCATGAAATATCCTAAAGGGAAATGATCTTTCCTTTTTCAATCATTCAATATATGTTTTATAACTGTCCAGTTGTACAACAAGGGAAGTAGGCGTGACATGATTCTTCTAGTCACCCATTATACACAAAGGGTATATGTGTTGCCCGTAGGCCCCCGCCAAGCCCCAAGTCGTCGGGCCTCAGCCATAATCTCTGTGTGCAAGGGGCCACCCGGACCGGTCCCGTCCGGGCTTCGCCGAAGTGCACGTTAGCACTAGTCTCACCAGTTACTTTTCTCTCTTATTCTTCAACTCTATCTCAAGCCCAGTTAGTTTTTATACTATTTCCAGGCATTTTTTATGTTTTTTTCTTTAACTTTAGAACTCTCTCGTTTTGAAATTTGACTATATTTATACTGCGCGTATAATCAAAGGGATCTAGCAACCGCAAACCTCTTCAGATGCGGTTCGTTCAAGAGCTTATCCAGGTAACTGGTATCAATACCGATCAGAACTTCCATACCTCCATCCAGAAGCATTAGTAAGATAATATATATGCCATTAAGAGGCCCATTTCCAGGCATCCGGACAGAAGTCATGTTGTGACCGAGCTTAGAGCCCCAATCAAGAGAGTAAAGGGGATAAGAGGCCCAAAAGCTTTACGTACAATGGATACCGGCGCTATCAAGGCCAGCTATCGGGATCAGACGTCGGATATCGTCAAGGTTGTCTATCAGGGTCAATGAAATATTCTGTGGCACTGAGGTCCCTCGAAAAATAACCTCTTCATAGCCGTTTCTGGAAGTTGGGCTTGGTGAGATGCAGTGTTCACTATTGCTCCATGTTATCTAATTGTTACGTGGATGCAGTGAAACATCTATTTGCCTTCTGGGTGTAATAAACAGGAGTCATGCTCGTCCTCGTTCTATATATCCTTCTTCATGCTACATTGTATCGCATAAAGAGCCCTTCAGAATATGCTTCTATCAACAAAAAAAGACCGAACCACATGAGATATACTGCCGATGACTGATCCCTCAGAATAGGTCCCAAACATATCTTGAAAAAAGACTTCACGCAGAACTTGCGGTGAGCAAAATGGTCATTTTCTGATCTGTCTATATCAAAGTGGCAAGCGCTCGACGTAAGTGACCATATTACAAGGTGAAAATTGAGGTATAATTGCATATCTCTCAACTAATAGCTTGTATAGCTAATGAAAGGCGACCCTCCTGCTCAATAAGCTTTCTTTTCTTATCAGAGCGTTGGGGGGGGGCTTGTTTTCGTGGTCAAAGAGGATGCATCATTATAGTATTGAAGTGTATTTTTGGTGGGGTCGCTCGCGCAACCGGACTTCACGTTAGCTAAGAGCTAGCCACTTTAGACTTAGCCCCTTGTGAGAAGAAGGTAAGATCACATCCAGGGCGAACCGAAAAATTTCCTGTTCCTCGGGGGATCCTCTAGACCCCGAACTCCACGTGACCGATGACCCACATCAAGGCAGCAAGATGCGGGTTTCGACCAATCCCTCCAAAAATGACCGTTTGACTTAGATATCACCAAACGCTACTGGAGAGAAATGCCAAATGAAGAAATTTGCCCGTGTGAACGCACTTTTATCGGATAAAAGGCGTGGCTTTCGGCAACTTCGCTAAAACAGAGATTGCTCCGTTGGTATTGGACCTCTTTAATTGGGGCATATTGTCCACAAACTTATAGAGTAACCCCGAGTTAACGTATTGTGTCGGAAACCGAGGCCTACACGCTATGCTCTACGTGGGGTACGACCTCCGCAGCCTTAATTTCAACAGGCTTAAACCAAACCCCTTTATCCACATTGTGTCCATTTTCAATTTTGATTTCCATAGCTAAAAT